TATGAGGTCGATTCATTTCCTTAAGGGGGGATTATCGGGCGTTGTGTAGCACTTTCCGGGGGCCGGTGCGATTTTACTGGAGAATATAATTATGGGTTAGTTGCGTGCTATTTGGTGATGGTTCAAACCCTAAGTGGGGGAGAACTGGGTGCCGTATGTAAGAAAGCAGAGATTTGTCAAGAGCAGTTATAAGTGGAGTATAGAGATATGCGGTAAGAAATCATGAGACCAGAGATGTCGGTGATCGAGGAAAGGGGTCAGAGTGAGTTAATGCGGGAAGTACTTGTTTGAGAAGGATGAATGTCTCCACGACAGGTGTTTATTAGTCAGGAATCTGGTATTGGTCAGTGTTGGGGCAAGTAGATAAAGAATGATTGGGCAGCCAACTCCCGGGTTGGTATGCGTATCCTTGTTTGGATTTTGAGCGGCGGGAAAAAGGGTTTCGGAGAATTATCAGCGTATTTCGTAGCGTTAGCGTTTCTTCGTATTGCAATTGAGAAATTGAATACACCGAAGTTGCAACTTGGGAAAAATGAAGATCTAGTTATGGGGTTCAGAGGGAATGTATTATTGCATCTATATGGTGCTTGGGGCAGGAGATCTGTGGTTATGGCAGGATCTTGTGATGTTCGGTGGGGGTGTTCCGAGGTATCCGGGTATTGATATCTTTATTTCAAAGTTGTTCGTGAATCTTGAGTTGAGACGACTTGTGGTATATCAGGTATCTATGGATCTAGTGAGAGCCTTCGAGTATGGGCATCCAGGGAGATTACTTGGGAGAGTGGATCTTCGCAAGGGTGGGCATCTGTTATGGCGATTGCCTCCAGAGTCTGTGATGAATATTCAAGACGAGTATGGGTAGCCGCCTATGATAGTCTGTGGAGCACGAGCTAGTGGGGTCAGAGGGTGTTGTGATACTGCGGGGAGTCGTAGTACTCACTAGTCAGAGAGTGTTGTGATACTGCGGGGAGCCGTAGTACTCACTAGTCAGAGGGTGTTGTGATACTGCGGGGAGCCGTACTACTCACTAGTCAGAGGGTGTTGTGATACCGTGGGGGAGCCGTAATGCTCACTAGATGGAAATAGAGTGTGATGATGGAATGTTCTCCGATCAGTGTATGATGTGGAAGAGTTTTGGGCTTGAGTAGCCCTAGTATTGAGTTTTTGGAGCCTGGATGTTGGACCGGGGGCGAGATTGGGGTCCCCGTCTCTGCCAGGGAATGTGGTGAGATGCGCAGCAGAAACCAGAGATCAGAGTGGAGACGATCCTCGGTTGGATTGTACTTTCTTGCATAAGGAAAAGAGAATTTCGTGACTTGCGTGTCACGGGGCCGGGATAGTGGTCACGGGGAGGAACTTAGTGGGATATTTGGATCATGATTTGGGTGACCTTTGGAGGCTCAGTTGTGGAGTCAAAAGCTGACCTGGTGACCAGTCTCGAATAGGGATATGAGATGAGCTAGAGCCTATCATGATGATGTCTGAGGACACCTCAGAGGGAGTGAACGATTTAGACGCTCAAAGACATGCTTCGGGCATGTGTATTAGATTTCGGAGGGTGTTGCGGCACGTATGTATCCTAGGTTGAGTTATCCTATTTCAACAGCCATCATTAGTGCATTGGTATGCCACCCTTTGTGTTGTTGTATGGGAGGAAGTGTCGGACCCTCATTTGTTGAGGAAAGTGTCGATTCGTGGAAGTGGAAATTGTAGTGAGAATGGATGATTTGGAGTATGATGGTCGAACATTGTGTCTGTGACAGTGGTATGGAATGACATCATGATGGGATGTTTGCTGAGGATGCGGAAGGGATTTCGCGGGTGTAGAGCCAAGAGTCTCAGGATGGGTTAGGGATGGAGTCTGGGACTCCCAGCTTGATTCTGATCAAGGGTCATGTGCGTAGTGGTGGTGTCTCCTGGGGATGTTAGAGATGCCATCAGTGCGACGGGTTCTCCTAACCCGAGAGTGCGAAGGTTGGTGCGGCTTGGGTGCTTGATTGCAAGAAGAGGACTCATGAGAGTTGCTCTGGGATTGAAGAGTGGGCCTTTCTGTCGTCACGGATTGGATAGAATGGGATTCGGATCGGGGATCCGATGGTTCATGGCTTCTAACCCTTACGGGTCAAGTGATTGTTGAGATTTGGGTCAGTGATGCTTCATGGGTAATTCTCGGATCGTTGAGTGTGGTTATCAGAGGGTACATCCGGTGCCTAGTTCGAGACAGTGGTTAGGACACCGTAAGGAAAGGGAAAGTGTGTTCGAGTTTCGATGGGTATGCCTTTTGAGATCTGGTCCGATTAAGGCAAGGTGGCACGTTGTGGGAGTATTTCTGGAGTTGAGTTGCTGTAGGCTTCGAGGGCGAAGCCTAATTTAAGTGGGGGAGAATTGTAACATCCTGAAATATCAAGAGTAGAGTTGAAGGGCTAAAAGAGTAAATTGGGAAAGAGTGACTTGGCGAGTCCATGTGCGGACTCGGTGAGTAGAGTCGCGACTTGGTTGCGTGTTAAGTGGCCGACTCGGCGAGTCAGTGTAATGGACTCGGCGAGTAGGTGCTGAGTGGAGAAAACCCTAATTCTCGGGGTTGAGCCTTATATAAAGATCATTATGTTTCCCTCCCAGCCTCTTTATCACCCCTTGAGCCCCAGAAAACCATAAATCATGAAGAAGCACCATTGTTGGATGGATTGGAGCTTGGAGAATGTATTTGTGAAGGAATTTTGGGAGATTGAAGGCTTGGAGCAAGGGGCTTTGTTTGAATTCGAGTCTTATTTCAATTGGGGCATTCCTTTGAGATAATATCTCGTTTTTTTTCGCTGCTATTTCTTAGATGCATCATTTTGGGGGTGTTGGAGATCATATCTTTGGATGTATTGGAGTTTAGAGGTTAGATCCGAGGTTGCTACCTCAGATCTGGAAGGGAGAAGGTCTAGAGTGCATGAAAGTCCCTGTTTGTGAGTGGTTGATGGAGCCATCTTGTCCCAAATCCTAACCCAATGTGCAAACGGCTTAGATCTCTTTGGATTCACGTAAAGTTTGCCACTTTACGTGATGGATGGGTTGTAGGAGGCTAGATCTATGTTTTGGATCAATTGCATGGCCTCGAGTGCTTCTAAATGGATTCAGAACGGTGGTACTCGGCGAGTCACATGGGTCGACTCGACAAGTTGCTTGAAGATGGCCTGGAACTCGACGAGTTGGAAGAACAACTCGACGAGTAGGTTGAAGATAGCCTTGGACTCGACGAGTCCATTTGGACTCGGCGAGTCTTGTCGAAGAGTGCCAAATATTCTCTGGTTGAGTCGAGAATCGGTGAGTCGTGTGCGAGTGAACTCAGAGTTGTTGGACTCAGTGAGTCTCGGGGTGACTCGGCGAGTTAGGTCGCAGATTGAGTGAAGTTCTGATTATGAGAACTCGACGAGTCACAGGGTTGACTCGGCGAGTAGGGTCAGTCAAGGGTTGACTTGGACTGAGGACTTTGATTTCGACCAAGGGTTGGCCGTTGACTTTTAGGGTTTGGTCAGCGATGTGGCCTTTGGGCCAAGAGAGAGGTAAAATAGTCTTTTACCCATAAGAGGGTGTTATGAGAGGATTTATTCTAGTCTCGAGAGTTGTATTCATGAGAGTATTTGCCTTACGTGTTAGGCGGTGGCGAGTTCGAGATTCAAGTGTGGGGATATCTGCTTTCTGCTTGCCAGGTGAGTCTTCTCACTATACTTTATCTTGAGTAGGTAACCAGAGTTATGTGATTAGAGTATTTGTATGCTATATGTACATGATGTGTTGTACTGCATTATTTCTATGTGATTTATATTGTACATGTTTATAGAGTTGGAACCGAAAGATTCCCAGAGTTAGAACCTGAGGGTTCACAGAGTTTGGGTGCACGGACCCATAGAGTTATAGCCTCGAGTGGCTAATATGTGTTATGTGTGGTATTTTGGGGAACTCACTAAGCTTCGTGCTTACAGTGTTTTGTTTGATGTTTTTCAGGTTTCTTTCAGTATCACGGGACGGCACCGGCTTGATTGTACACACCAGAGAAAGAGTCATATTTTGGAGGATCCTGGTTTTCTATGCAAGTGAAAATGGAGTTATGTTTTGTAAATCGACTATGAATGAGATTTTAAACAAGTGTTTCTAAGAATAAAATGATTATTTTAAATGAAAAATTTGTCTTGAAATTTACGGTGTTACACAGTATGTGAAAGAACCATTGACTATGGACTCAACTATAGAAGAGGCCATGAAATTGAAGACTTGGTTGGTTTACCGATAATGATCTTAGAGGTGACCATGTTGATAGCAAGAGCACAAGTGGGATAATTTTCTACCTTGGAATGAATGTGGACGCTTGGCAATCTCAACATCAAAAGATTGTTGCTTTGTCCACATGTGGGCCGAGTTCATGGTAGCCACACATGTCAAGCCATTTGGCTTGCAAATCTTGTGATGGAGCTCACGGGACATCATATCTTGCCTATCACTTCGCATATCAATAATGAGTCAACATTTGCGTTAATGAAGAATCTTATGTTTCATGGTCAAAGAAAACACATTGACATTCGTTTTCACTTCATACTAGAATGTGTTGAATGTGGGGAAACTATTGTAGAATATGTCAACTCGAATGATCAATAAGCGGACATCTTTACCAAAGCTTTAGCATATGTGAAACATGGTGAAATGCGAAACATGATCTTTGTTACCAATCTTAGCCAAGTTTGGTTTAAATGGGAGAATGTGAATTTTAACCCAACTTGGCAATTTTCTCATAGCACCACCATTTGACAATGGTAACTTCTTATGTTCACATGGTGAACACAATAAATGGTAATAATAGTTATGATAAGTTGGTTTAGCTATAAATAGGAACTCTAACTTCAGTTGTAGAGCACCACAAAAACAAAGAGTGAACCACAAAAACAAAGAGTGATGGATAAATACTTAAACCGAGTATTAGAGGGTTGTTTTTTTTTCTTGTAATATTCAGCATGTAAGTTCTTCCTTTTGTTCTAGTTCTGAATAAAACTATCATTCAACCCCAACATTCTAGCCCCTTTCTCGATAAACAAAGTATTTTTCAATATGAAGAAAAGATAGAGTAAGTTATAGTCTTGAAAAACAAAAACAAATGATCTTACTAGTGCACGTACGATTACTTAGGTGTCACAAGAGTCGAGATTATAAGGGGTCGCAATCAGTTGCAAGTTCATCTTTCTTCGGATGGATGAACCAAATGTCTCCCTCATATCCAAATCTGCAGTATTCATCCCATGAGGGAGCTCCCAGTTAAAGTGATAGAGTAAGCTTGCAAGTACAAGTTCAACATTAGCCACACCAAACAAAATTCCTGGACAGATTCTCCTTCCAGCCCCGAAGGGTAGATACTCCATGTTGCTTCCCTTGAAATCATAACTACTGTCTTCGAATCTCTCAGGTAGAAAACTTTCAGCATCATGCCAATACTCAGGATCCCTTGCGAGTGCCCATGCATTAATGATAACTTTTGTCTTCACTGGTATCACATATCCCTCAATTTCACAACTTTCCCTACATTCTCTAGGAAGTAACAAGGGAAGTGATGGATGCAATCTCATCGACTCCTTGATAACCAGCTTTAGATAGTTCAATCCTTGAATATCAGCTTCATGTACTTCTTTCTTTCCCCTCAGCACTTCTCTCACTTCAGTTTGTGCCTTTTTTAGCACTTTAGGGTTTCTTACAAGTTCTGACATGAGCCATTCCAAATTTGTGGAAGCCGTATCCGTTCCAGCTGAGAAAACATCCTGCATGCAAACCAGCCACAAATTCATTTACGATTAAGTGTCCATTAATTAGACACGTGATGTAAAGATATATAAGAAGTGATTGAACATTAAAAACATAATTTTTTTAGTCTATCTAAATATCGAGTAGAGTTGAGTACTAACCAATACCAACGCTTTGATATGGTCATGTGTGAAAGGGAACTCAAGATCGCCACTGTTTTTTAGTCTGAACAGAATATCAAGAAAATCTTCATCGTCCATGGCAGTTTTAGAGCTCTTGTTGTGCTGGTCGAGTATGCTGTTAAGGGTCATGTCAAGGTTTCGGTGGAGGGTTTTTAACCTGGAACCCATACTGGTAAAAACATGAAGAAACTTATAAGAAGGAAACAAGTCGGCCATATCAAAACCTCCTGCTAGAACAGCAAGTTCTTGTACCATATCTATCAATAGATCCTGCTCGTTATAGATCCTCCCAAATGCAGCTCTAGATGTTACAGTGTTCATCAATGTAAAAAAATGTTTGGAAAGATTTATAGGTGATCCTGCAGATGACAGAATAAGTTTCATCAGAGCACCAGCCTCTTCCTCCCTGATTGAAGAGAATGACTGGACTTTCTTGGCACTGAGCAGTTCTAAGGCGCAAATTTTTCGCATCTGCCTCCAGTGATTTCCATATGGTGAAAATCCGATATCTTGAGAGTTGTACATCACAATCTTGGAGACTAGTAGTTCAGGTCTGCTTGCAAAGGCGAGATCGTGCTTCACGAGTATCTCTTTTGCCATTTCACGAGATGATATAACCAAGGCGGAAATCTCACCCAGTTGAAGATGCATCAGGGGACCATGTTTTCTGGCCAGGTTTCTAAGAACATGATGTGGTAGTTCGGAACTAAACATTGACAACATGTTCCCGATAAAAGGCAGCTTCTGTGGACCTGGTGGCAATTTGCTATTCACCTTACCTGAGCTACATTTACTGACTAACATAACTACAATAAACATTAAAAAGAAAGTCACAATGAGGATTATCAAGGGAGACATGATTTGCGATGGCAATGCTTGTGATTTCTTGAGAAGAATAACCAGTATTTATTGGGACATATGAGAAGTCATTGACTTTCGTCAGTTGCATGTGACATCAAGGTAGAGTTGCTCGCAATTGGTTTTTATGAGATTTCATTCTAACCGGTGTACAGTAAAAATAAATGTAACTAGTAGTCTAGTACACAACTGGTTTCTTAAAATACAGATTTCATATCTATATATAGCACATTCGCGGGAAGTATTGATCTTTGAGTTTATTTTATTATTATTTTTTTTCTTCTTTGAGTTTATTAATGCAAGGATCTTGGCTGGTACAATAATTAATACATAATAAATGACTTGACAACCCATCACTTCGCCATAGAGATACCTAATGGTTCCAAAATTTTGTCCCCACTTCGGTCGATTTTGAGACACTTAAGTTCCAAAGATACCTTAGGCATCATTGACTTTTACCTTCTGTAAATTATATGAAAAAATTATCATTGGTTTAGCATAACGTGTTCCGAATATATATATATATATATATATATATATATATATATATATATATATATATATATATATATATATATATAGAGAGAGAGTTAGGTTTAAATGTTTTTGACAACTATTGTGTGACTGAATGCACCAATAGAAATTGAGGAATAATTAAATAATTAAAAAATTGAATAAGTGTAATTATGTAACTTTACAATGATAATTAAAATAAAATCCCTTAATTAATGGGAATTACTATAAAAATCTCTTTGACCAACTATTTAATCCTAGCCCTAAATCTAACTCATCATCGTTTCTAATCCACGACTTCTGCTTCTTCTTCTACAATCAATCATCAAGATTCAAAACTCATTACCAGGTAATTATCCTTCTCCAATCAGTTATTAAGATTTTCTTTCTTTGAGTCTCCGATTGCATCTTCATTTTGTGTTCAAGTCAATCTTTCCTGTTTGTCAAAATTAACAATTTGATGATTGACTGATGCTATTGTCTGTAAACGTTTGAATATAGATCTTTTATTTAAAGCTATTACAATTGACCCATATGTAAAAGACGTATCTTGAATTTGTTGCTCATCCATTCTCTGTTCATCGTTTTCTTTTATTCCCGTTATTTCTGTTGACTTGAGTTCATTTGTTTCTTAAAATTGCTAATGATTTCTAAATGAAATTAATCTTTTAAGTATTAACGTGGTGTTGGATGAACAAGATTTTTGGTTCCTGTGATGTACAATTGTCGAACAGTTGGTCAAAGAATGAAAAGTCATAATTGGATTAAATAATTGAAGGCTGTTGTTGCAATGAACTGGTGATTTTGTTTGTTAATCTAGTTTTTGGAACAAGCCTTTACAATGGTGCGATGCCTTGAAGACTGTCAGAACATAGGCTATCGAAGCACTGTTAATTCCATCTCGCAATTTGGTGCTTCATGTTTTTCAGGTTCGTTGTGTTATGGGTCTTGGAATCGGGGCATATGTCAAAATCGGATGTGTGATGCGAACCATGAAATTGGTAATTGTACCTCAATTGGAATGATTTAGGGACTCCATCGGGAAGAACAACGGTCAAACGTGGGCTCCTGTGTGGTTGGTGTGCCACTTCAAGTCTGTTGTTGATCTGATAAAGAAGGCTACAAATTCTTTAAGAATATTTAAAACCATTCTGCAAGAACAGTTTATTGTGTAAGAATATTTTGGTTGTATTCTGAAAGAATTGCAATTAATTATTTGTATGCTTAAGGTGCAGTTGTTAGGATGATGCAGGAATGATGAGGAAACTTATGAAAAAAAGATATATGATACTTCATTCTCAAAGAATGAAGAAAAACAACAATTGTTTTTCAGAATTTCAAGATTCAACATCCAAAAACAGCAATATTCTTTCAGAATTCAAGAATTCAAGAAGAAAACATGGCACATGATAGTATTCTAGCGGAATGTTGTTATTTTTTTTTAAGAATGTTATTCATTTTTGTTTATATTCTTTTAGAATTTTTATAACTATATTAAAATGTATAAGACTTTTTGTCTGTAAGAATATGTATAAATTTGTATTTAAGTTCAGATGTATAAGAATACATTAGAATGTTTGTTATTTCCACATCTTATTCATGAATTTTTTTTTCTTCAATAATATTCTGTTAGAATAAAATTCTGAAAGAGTATCATTCTAACAAAAAAATATTCTGATAGAATAAAATCGGTAAAAATTGAAATTGAATTAATAAAAAAATTTAGATTTTTTTAAATTAGAAGAATTAATCATCCCTAAAAATCTGAAAATTTCCTTTTATAAATGTAGTTAATTGTCCAAAATATCCTTTTGATAAAAATTGTGTGATTATATGATACATGTTACCATATTGTAATATCATAGACCCTCAGATCATGATTGTTGATTCTATTCATCCGATGGTCCAGATCTGTGCATTCTGACACACAATAGTTACTAAAACAATATAACCTAACCATATATATATATATATATATATATATATATATATATATATAGACTTACGTTATTCTATTTAAGATAATTATTGTGTTATTATATGCATAAATATGGGCCAATCAAATTTACTTATTTTAATAAAATTATTAATATATATTATTGAATTAAATATAATTGAAAAATATCATTTTAATTAATTACAATTGTAATTTAGTTAGTTAATATAGATTTAATAAAGGAAATTTGTATATCTTAAGGGATCATAGATTCTATTAGTTTTAAAAATCCGATTTTACGAATTATAAGGTTTTTAATTCGGACATTCTGGTAGAATATATTTGAGTATGTTCAAAAATAAAAATATTCTTGAACCATAAAATAATAAAAATATTTTTGAACATATTTCTCGATCATAACTTTAAAAATTTCTTGTACAATAACAAAATTCTCGAACCATCAATTGAATAATTAAAACAAAAAATTACATTAATTCTTATAGAATAAATGTAATAATTGCTAAGAATTATATTTATTGTGAAAGAATAAAACTAAAAACCTTTCAAATCGGAAAAAAAACATCAAAATCTAACAAATACACTAATTCATTCTAAAAGAATAATGTTGCTAAACAACACTTTTAATTTTGTTGTTTGTTCTTCAAGCATCAACTTCTTCAAACATTGACTTCTGTGAAAAAATTCAGTTGTAGTTTAGAATTCAATAACGCATTAGCAAATGATAAATAAAAAACTTTATTTCTTTGGAAAAATATGCGGACTTATTAACTGCACCAAAACCAATAACCAAAAATTGTAGAACATGTATAATCAATGAGAAAATATCCATACTTCATTCCAACAAAATTAGAAATCGTGTTTCCATTCCGATAGAATTTGAATTCATGATTCCATTCCGATAGAATTGGAATTGTATAAAATACACAAACCACTAAGGGATTACTAGAAAGTAGTTTACTTAATTGTTGATCATTGATCGCAAAAAGGAGAAGTGAATACAAATACTGTAAATAGGAAAATATATGAGATCTTATTGCTCAAATTAGTTTTTGTTTCTATTTTGAAGTGAAAAAACATGTCTAGTTCGAAGCATATTAGCTCAAATTAGTATTTTCTTTCATTAAGACCAAGTGTTTTAGACAATATGTCAATATCTAATTTTAAGCTCAAATGTAATCGTTTGCAAACTCTCACCTATTGGCATCACATAACAGAAAGAAGGCACCAAGTCAAAATTTAACCCTGGTATAACAAGGAACAAGTGATATTAATCATGATTGCAGAAATCGCTAATCGGTGGACTAACGATTACGGATTAATCGGCTAGATGGGGATTAATCGGGAAATTAATCGAGAACCATTAATTATTAAGAAAATTATTTAAAAATTTATAAATCTAATTTTAATCCTACAAAAAAAAAGTGATTAATCGGCGATTAGGGCCGATTAGGTCTAATTAAGGCCGATTAGGCCCGACTTTCACCTGCGTTGACCAAACTCGATTAGGTTTGATTAAGTCTGATTAGGTCTGATTAGGATTAATTTCGAATTTTACCTATATTGACCAAACCTGATTATAGTGACCGATTAGCAATAAATCTCATCGGTGGAGGTCCGATTAGCGATTAATCGTCAATTAATCGGCCGATTAGGCAGATTTTGCAACAATAATATTAATATATCTTCAAAATTTTGTGAAAACTTAATATAATAAGTTTCTATTTTGAAATACTAAAGAAGATCTCCCTAAGTCATTTCATCAAACAGTTTATGTGCCAAAACATAAATTAAGCCGGATTAAAATGTGATGGAGAAATTATAATTAAACAAACGGTTTCCACTTCACCAACTTAAGATTTTACAAATGATAATATATTGCTATTCAATCCCACTGAAATAAATCAGTGAAGAATGTGCAAATCAACATGATGGAAATCTATAGAGAAAAAAATAAGGATTGAAACTAATGCTTACCATTGTGTCGATAACCACTCTGGATTGTTGAAAGGTGGCTTCAAGGATGATAAACTCTTCAACGGAGATGAACAGCGGAGATCGAGCAGTGGACGCTGGGGGGATAGTCGGAGGTGAGCAGCCGATTGAGGGTCGTCTCGTGTGGCCGGAGGTAAGCAGCATGGAGGAAGCGCCAGTGGTGAGCAGCGGAAGTAACCAGCACCAATTGATAGTCTTCTGGTGTGGCCGGAGACGCCTACGTTTGGTCGGAGACGGAATCGTTAGGACTTCGGAGGATTCACGATGTAGGCGGAATCCATCTTTACCCGATCAAAAGGAACACGAGTTTAAAAGCCCTAATCTTTTAAGTGGATCCACTTGCTGAAAGCAAACACGCTCTTATTTATTTAGGTTATAAATCCATATCATGATTATAGGAATTATTGATTATTTTTGGAAGTTACTAAACAAATTACTAAATTTCCCTTATTTATTTATTTAATTTTTATTTAATTTTAGTTGGCCCACATTAATACATACAATAACACAATAATTACTTTAAACACATAAACCTATCTCCCTCTCTCTCTCTCACACACACACTCTCTCTCTCTCTCTCTCTATATATATATATATATATATATATATAGAGAGAGAGAGAGAGAGAGAGAGAGAGAGGTTCAAATGGTTAATGAAAAAATAATAATGAGAACAATTATTAAATCGAAAATGTGAATAAATCTGGACCATATTTTTTTTGCCGCA